TCCTCAAGAAGGTCTTCCACAGTCTGCACCTCCATTCTCTGCAATGTGGCTTCCAAGTTCATCATTCAAAAGAAACTGTTCTCACTAAAGTTACTAATGATCTCGGAAGTGTCTTTTCTCAGTCCTCATTCTCCTTGACCTCTGCAGCCCCTGACGCTGTTGGTCACTCTCTCCTCCTGGATCCTCTCTTCTTTCCACGTTTTCAGGACACTGCTCCCTCTCTCTTTCTCCTCTCCTCTCCTCTCTCCTTTCTCTCTCTTCTTTTCTCTCTCTCTTTCTCCTCTCTCTTCTTCTCTTCTCTCTCTCTTTCTCCTCTCTCTCTTTCCCTCTCTCTCTCTCTCTCTCCCTTCCCCCTCCCCCACCCTGGTTCTCCTCCTACCTCTCTGACCACTCTTTCTCTGTCTCTTTTGTTGGATTCTCCTCCATATCCCACCCTCTAACCATAGGTGTCCCTCGGGGTTCTGCCCTGGGGCCTCTTCTCCTTTTATATTGTTTCACTTGGGGATCTTATCAGCTCCCATGAATTCAATGACTATCTTTTGCTGATGATTCTCAGATCTACTTACCTAGGTCTAACATTTCTTCTGACCTCACATCTCTAAATCCTTATTGGATATCTCATACTGGAAGCCACATAAACATCTCAAACTCAGCATGTCCAAAACTGAACTGTCTTTTCTGCCTCAAACTTTCTTTTCTTCCTGCCTTCCCTGTTTCTGCCAAGGATGCCACCACTTCCTCAGTCACCTAGGATTACAAACTAGGTGTCATCCTTGACTCCTCACTCTCTCATAATTTTTCACTCCCATAAACTATAAGTCATCTAAGCTTGTGATTTCTATCCTTGTAATATCTCTGGTATACCCCCTCCTTCCCTGCTCTGACTCTGACACCCACCGACCAGATGGCTTTAATCACTTCATGCTTGGACTATTGCAATAGCTGCTGGTGGGGTCTGTCTGTCTTAAGTCTCTTCCCCTCTGGTCCATCCTCCACTCAACTGCCAAAATGATCTTCCTAAAGGGCAGGTCTGACCATGTTGCCATCATACACTGCCTCCCTATCACTTCCAGGATCAAATGCAAAAATTCTCTGGCTTTTAATGTCCTTCACAAGCTGTTCTCCTCCCCCTTCCAGTCTTCTTAACCCTCAGCCCACCCCATGTGTTCTGCAGTCCAGTGACACTGACCTCCTTGCTGTTCATCCCACAAGACACTCCATTTCCCAATTCCAGGCATTTCCTCCCTCACTCCTGCAGTGCTCTCTCCTCTAGTCTCTGCTCTGGCTTTCTTGGCTTCTTCCTTCATGTTTCAAGCTAAAATCCTATCTTCTACAAGAAGTCTTTTGGGATCCCTTCCCTTTGAGTCCCTTTCCTTTGCTGACTGCTGACTATACTGACTATAGCTCGATTGTACATCTTTGTTTGCATGCTCTACCATTAGAGCAGGGATGGTCTTTTGCCCTTCTTTGTGTCCCTAGTGCTTAGCACAGTGCCTGACACATGGTAGGCACTTAATAAACATTTATTGACTGACTGACATGGAGTAATAGGACCTAGTTCCTGGACTGGACTGCTTGGCAAAAGCTTGGAGCCCTGCAGCTGATCCCAGGCACAGGATGCCTGGGGAAGTAGAGGCCTCCTGCTAGGGCTGTGTCTGTGTCTCTGTGAGTACCTCCTCCCATCCTGGGCAGTGTGCTTAGATCTTGTCAACACCTACCTAGGGAGAGCAATGTTCCTGCAATGTGCTGGCCTGGCAGCCTAAGGAGACTGCCTTACTCTGGCCTACCATGGGGCTGTAAGCATTCTTTCCATAGTGGTAGCCTAGCTAGTCTTTCCCTTGCAAGTCCACTCAGCTGATGGCAGGACAGTGCATGGCTGTCCTTGGGTCCCCGGGAATCACAGGATCACAGATTTAGAGCTGAAAAGGACTTCAGGGACTATCTAGTTCAAAGCCCTCATTTTGTGGATAAAGGCCCAGATTTTCCTAGGGTCACAGAGATAGTAAATGTCTGAGGTGAAATCTGAACCAAGGTCTTCCTGACTCCAAGTTCAGTGCCCTAGCCACTGTAACATATGGCCAGCTGCTTTCTCTCCCCAGTCACAGGGCAGGCTGGTGCAGCAGTTGAGGCCATTCCCATGACCCTCAGGGAGCATGGGGAGCAAGGCTGAGCTTGAGCCTGGCCCATGGCTCTACTGCCGGTGCTTTCTTCAGGAGCCTCATTCCTAAGGGGCTTGGCAAGAGGTATACCATCAGGGAGGGGCAGAGAGGACACCAGCCAGCCTAGCGCCCCCAAGGCCTGTCTTCATGCCTGAGTTATGTACTGGGCCCTTGGAGGGAGGGCAGGGCCCCTACAGTGCCATCCCTATGGTGCCACCTTCCTCTGCCCTTGGCAGCTAGCCCGGAGGGGGGACAAGTTCCCTAGAGGCAGCATAGCACTGGAAGGGGCTGCCCATTGGCTGGCTTGCAGCAGCTAGCACCACCCCTGGGTTCAGCCCAGAGCAGGCACCAGCCTGCGGGGGAGTCCTGTGCACTCCATAGCTCAGAGTTCAGCTGGGCAAAGGGTAGAGTGAAACAAGCACTGCAGGGAAGGTGAAAGCAGAGGGAAGATGGTGAGGGTAGCGAGCACTGGGCTGGGGGGACAGGAGTACCCCAGCTCAGTCCTCAGCCAGAGGCACATGCAGGTGACACAGACAGACACAGAGACAGTGCCCTCTACCACATTCAGCAGGATGCAGACAAGGGGTTGCCACCTCTGACCCAGGCAGGCCACTGGTGCTGAAGGGTGAAAGCATCAGAGCCAGGCCCCAGGCAGGTGTGGAGAGACCAGGTATCTCTGAGCTGGAAGGGAATTTAGAGGCTCCCTCATTCCCACCCCCTACTTTGCAGAGGGCTCCTTAGCCTGAGGCCCCCAACCTAAGCTTGATTACAATTCTGTTCCCCTGAAAGACCAGGGAGTCAATCTCAGGGAAGAGGGCTCAGGTGGGTGGGGAGAATGCATCCCTCCATCTCTTCCTTCCCAGCGGCCCTGAACCCATGAGACCTCCTCATTAATTCCCTCATAGCCCTGCCTTCAGGATCAGCCTTCATTGGCCTTGGAGCCTTCGTGGATTCTGGCTCCCTCCTCCCCTTTCTCCTTCCCCCGACCCAATCCTTAGGGCCCTTCCCACTGGGCAGCTTCTGGCCACAGGGGCTGAACTCTACTCTCCACATATGGGATCTCCCCTTTGTGCCATGCTCCCACCTTTCCCTGCCTCTGGGTCTCCCTTGTTCCTCTCTGGCCTTAGGTTTATGGGAGGGGACACCTAGGAAGGAGAAAGAGGAGAAAGGAAGGGACAGGATGGAAGAGAAGGAGCAGGAGGTAGGTGCAGGGCTTGGATGGGAAGCTAGAGAAAGAACAGGGCAAGGGAGGGAGGGAGGGAGAGGGGAGGAGAGAAGGCTGGAGCCCAAGGGAGGCTGCTGGCAGGCAGGGCCAGGCGGGCTCAGGGCCTGGGTCTCTAGTACTCTAACAGAGAGTTGGGTATTCAGTGGGCACTTGAGAAAGGCGTGTACTCGTAGATGGAGGGATGGAAGGAAGGGCTGGGTAGGTGTGCTGGAACTGGAGAAGCTGGTGGCCACAAGAATGGAAGTGAGGAATGGGCAAGGCAGGGCACCAGGGGAGCCAGGAGGTGGGCCTGTGGAACCGGGCCCCACTGGAGCTCGCTGTCCTGCCAACGCCTGAGGCCCACCCTGAGGGCCTCAGTAAGGAAAGCTGCGTTTACTCGGTCTGTGTCTGGCAGGCTGGGCAGCCCGTCCGTCCGTCTGTCTGATTGCCTGGCCGGCCGTGTGTCTCTCTGTCAAGCTGTGTGTCTGCCTATCTGTCAGTCGTCCATCTGCCTGCCTGCCTGTACGTCTTTCTGTCTGCCCACTCCTACGGCTCTTGGCCTGTGGCTCAGGAATGTCCTGCAGGGATGCTCTCCCACCACTCCTTGAGCCTGCTCCCTCCAAGGTTCGTCTCCCTCCCTGCTCCCCACCCCTCCCCACCCCCTGTACTGGGCAACTGGTTCCTCTGAGCAGGGTGGGGAGAAGATAGGAAGGCAGAGGGAACCTAAGTGCAGGAAGGAAAGGCTGAGGGTGCCTCCCTGGCCCCTGCAGAGGCCTTCTTCTGGACTCTCTCCCCTCTGGCCAGGCAGACCAGTGCCCCTGGGGACACCAGAGAACTCGGCATCTCCTGGGTGGCCGTGAAGGGCTCTCAAGTCCCTTTCTCTAGGACCTTGCTCTCTGCTCCCTGCAGAGGCTCAGGCAGGCCTAATGGTGGCCTTGGCTGGCCCAGAGAGGGGAAGAGGAACTGAGGAGGGGAAACCTGGCTGGCCCCTTCCCCTCCCCTCCCCTCCCCTCCCTGGCTCCCCCGCTGAGGATGAGAAAGAGGCGGCCTGGCCGAGGCTGGGAGTGCCTTACCTGCTACAGTCTCAGAGGCTACTCTCGTAGCTGGTGGCCACCTTCTGGCCCTTAAACACAGCTCCCCAGCTTAGTCCTGGAGCTGAATGGGGGGTTTCTACAGTGGACAAGAGGGCTCTTTTTAGTGTGGTCACATGGCAAGGCATGCCCCAGTCGGTCAGAGATGCCTGGAGCCTCTGGCGGCTGAGGGCGGCCCATGGCTCTGCTTGTCTTGGCTGGCCCCAGCTCTGGCCAGGCAGGGGGCTCTGCTCACTGAACACGGGGGCAGGTGTGGCAGGGCAGCGGGGCACCGAGGGAGGCGGAGGCTGGGTGGGGAAGCAGAGCCAGGAGCAAGGAGACGAGGCGGCGGCAGCGGGACGGGGTGTGGGAAGGACTGGGGTGGCCTCTGCCCGACAGAAACCCCTCTTCCCCAGCCACGGAGGGGCAGGGTATCTGCTCCGCTCGCCCCTGCTCTCCTGGCCTCTCCCCATTGGACCACACTGTACCATACTGTCTCCTCCCCCTTACCGGGGAGGGGAGGCCTCTGGAGGAGTCAGTGGGCTCCCTGGTGGGCCAGCAGCTCACCTGATAATTGCTGGACAGATGGCTGGTCATGTGTGCTTAACAACTGGGCCTGAATGGTCTCCACCACCCTCTTAAAGCGACGGCTTGGACCTGGAGAAGGCAGGGCAGGGTGGAGGAGAGGTCTGGTCACTGTGGACTGCAAGGGAACCACTGGGTCCTGGTGGCAGGGCAGAAACAGCTGGGTCTCCCCAGCCCAGGACCCCCTCACCCCACCCCTCTGACCCCAGGAGGCCCCCTTCCCTTCCTCCCCTGTGACCCATTAGCTGGAGGACCAGGGCAGATCACTAGCTCTCTTCAGGAATGGGAGGAAGGGGATGCCGTTTCTGCTAGCCCTGCCCACCCCCCCCCCCCACTTTGAGGCAAGGCCCCAAGGATTCCCAGGAAGTGTCCTCTTCCCCTGTCAATGCAGGACCAAGCCACGAGGGGCCCGGCCAGAAGCTGAGGTTATTCCCCCCACCCCTACCCCGGTCCAGCCCCAAGCTCTGCTCCTGGCACTCGGGGCATCACCTGACAAAAGTGTGAAAGTGACTGAGTAGATGCCATTCTCCTTCTGCGCCTCTCCGCCTTCCGTGTAGGTGATGTCCACCTGAAACTTGACTGGCTTCTGGAAGACAGCTGGCCCTCCCGTTGACTTGTACTCTGCGCGGAAGCTCGTCTGAGAGATGACACTGTGGCTGAGACTGGGGATCTGTGAGGGAGCAGCAGGGGAGAGGACGATGAGGTCCTGGGAGGGGGTGCCCCTGGAAGGAGCGCTCTGATGGGAGGCCTTCCTTGGCTTCCCTGGTTGTCAGAAGCATTCTGACGAGGGTTGGGGAAAGGGACTCTTGGGAGTGGGGAGGTAGGTTGAGCCAATCACTAGGAAAGGGAGGAGCCTTCACTAAGCTCCAGCCTCATCTGTTAGCTCAATTTTGCAAATGAGCCGAGACTCAGAGGTGTTCCTTCAAAGAAAACCCAACTGGAACTCAATATGGGGTTTATCTGGTAGGGAGGCCTGGCCTTGGAAACCAGTAAGGAATTGGGGGGCAGGCATGAGCATGTCAGGGGAGGATGCCGGATGCTGCAGTGACAGCCATTAAGGCAAGCTTCAGGGAAGCAGACCAGGACAGTGGGTCTGGAGCCCCCCAGCCTTCAGGAGATGGAGAGGACTTTGCAAATGCCATGAAGCTGATCTCAGGAGTCCCTGAGGACCTGGGCTTCAGCTGGTGATTATGAGGGCTACCCAAACAGGACAGATTCTACCCAGATCTGGGGGGTCCTCTTGGGCTGCAGCCTCACAGATCTAGCCCTCTATGGATATATTACCTGGTTCCCTTCACTCATGCAGATGAACACTGGGGTTACCAAATGCTGGGCCAAGAGAGGATAGAAGCGTCCAGGCAAGCCATCTATGTGGCCTCTGGGGGCAACCCCAATGTGATCTCCATATCCTTACTTGTGTCCCAGACCCAACACCATGGTATAGGGCTCTCCATTCTGGGGGCCACACAACACAGAGCCTGGACCCCACCGAATCAGACCTGCTCTCTCCCCTGTAAGTCCCCCAGCATTAATATGCATGTGTGGTGTTCAGAGCCCCATGCTTGGTGCTAGGGGAAAATCCAAGTCTAGAGAAGTCTGTGCCCCTGTCTTCAGGGAGCATATGGAAGACAGCTTTTCTGCCTCCCCAAAGAGAAAACCATTCTCCTCTAGAAAAGTGCTTGGAGCCCTGGAGTCAGGAGAATCTGAGTTCAAATTCAGCCTTCTACTTCCTAGCTGTGTGCCCATGGGTTAAGTCTTGCCTCTGTTTCCTCATCTTTAAAATAGGGGTCACAGTAGCCCCTGCCCCCCAGTTGTGAGACATTTGTAAAAGTGCTTTGTGAGCATTAAAGGGTTTTTTGCATGCTAGCCACCATCATGATTAATGAGGCAGGGGGTGGCCCCTTGGAGCCCCCAGTGACCATGGTAGCAGCTGAAGAAGGGGGCCGCTGGCCATTTCTCCAAGGCTCAGCCTGGGAACAGTGACCATAATGAAGACCTGGGCTCCCTGTTCTCTGTTCTGGGTGAGTCTGTCAGCAGCCGTGTGGCTGAGGAGCCCTTCGCAGGGTCAGCCTTGGATCAGCCCCAACAAGGCTCTGAGTCAGCAGCCCCGAATCCCTAGCCCCTTACCGAGAGGAAGGCATGCACAATGTCAGCTTTGATGGAGCTCAGCGGCTTGTCTTTGATGACCACAAAGATTTGCTCTTCTTTCTCCAAGTTGATAAAGTTACCAAACCAAGACTTTTTGGCGAGCCTGTGGTGGGGCAGAGCAGAACCGGCGTTGGGGAGGGGGAAGAAGAGGGGGAGGGAAAGGAGACAGAACATGCTGTTGAGATCATACGTTGCCTAGGAGCGTCTCATACAAGGCTCCCAGATGTTCCCACTCTTTGAGGAAGGCTCAGGGGCATCAGCTACGGGATGACAAGAGGAAAACAGGCCCAGGGCAGGACCATGATAGGTAGCTGGCAAGGATGCTTCTGACTCTCACCTTTGGGACCTGTCTGCCTCACCCCACTGAGCCCTGACAGCATCCCCAAACTACCAAAAATGTTTTCAAAGGTTCAACCCTGACATCTTTGTTCTGGCCACACTCTTCTTCCCCATGGTTGCCAATTCAACTCGCTCTCCCTCCAGCCTAACTCTGTGCCAGCCCCTCTTCCTGCCCCCATTCCTCCTGTTTTAGGCAACGTGGGGGCTTCCCTCTAACAAATGTATTTAGTATCTCTCACCCCAGACAAGGCCCCTTAGAAGCTAGACACAGAAGATGACAAAGCAAAGACCAAGGGGATGACCCCACCTTTCAAGGATCCTGACAGACTACTCCCAACCCTTGGACCGGTGCTTGCTTTCAAGGATGAATTTATGGACAGAAGTTGAATACATGCACTCTGGGATGAAGGCAGCTAGGGGGCGCCACAGAGCACAGAGTGCCAGGCCTGGAGTCAATAAGACTCATCTTCATGAGGTCAAATCCAGCTTCAGACACTCACTAGCTGTGTAACTCTGGGTAAGTCACTTCATCCTGCTTGCCTCAGTTTCCTCATCTGTAAAATGAGCTGGAGAAGGAAATGGCAAACCACTCCAGTATCTTTGCCAAGAAGACCCCAAATGGGGTCATGGAGAGTTGGACGTGACTGAAATGACGTAACAACGATGAATTCTGGGATGAGTGTTGGGAGACAAGGTATAAGCTGAAAATTAACAACCAAACATAGATATAGCTATATGTTGAGAGATAGAGACAGGCTCAGAGAAAGGTATCCCCAGTGAAGCATCTCAGAGACCTGAGAGGTCATAACCTTATTGGTAAAAGCATTGAACAGGACAGAGTCAAAGATGAAGCTCTGGTGTTCACTACCAGGTAACCAGATGGTTACCAAATGGTTATCCACGCCTTTGGAGATGGTCATCGTGACACTAGTTCTGAATTTACCTACAGTACCTATCATTCCACCCACATTTCATTCTCCATTCATAAAATACATTGTCAGAGAACTTGCTGAAATCAATACATTACAGCCATGGCATATCGCTGACTCTCTCAACTTAGTGAAATTCTATCGATTCTGTCAAAAAAGGAAATAAAGTTAGCTTGGCATGACTTGGATTTGTGAACCCAGGCTGACTCCTGGCAAAAACCACCTTCTCTTTTAAATGCCTATGCACATTAGCGGGGATGCTGTCAAGTTTCTTGTCTAGGTGGTTAGGTGGTGCAGTGCATGGAGTGCTGGGCTTGCAGTCAGGAAGACTAGAGTTTGAATCTTTCCTCAGACACTTACTAGCTGTGTGACCCTGGAAAGCCACTTAATCTCAGTCTCCTCAACTGTAAAATGGGTATAATGATAACACCTACCTCCCAGGGTTGTTGTGAGGATCAACTGAGGTAAGGATTCTACAGGGCTTAGCACAGTGCCTGGCATACAGTAGACACTAGATAAATGCGCGCTATTATAATTATTTTGTAGTTTTCCTAACTAAACTTCCCTCCTTTGGTCATCTCCTGATCTCCACAAGTCCTTAAAGGTAAGTGACAAAGCTCTGAGATTTCGCCTGCCAGATGGTTCTTTTGAGAGACAGAACAAATTCACTAGGAAGGGCATGTCTTTGTGAAAGCTTTCCAGCATGCTGGAGAGCTCCTTGAGAAGGCATGCTGAACTCCAGTCGTCTCTCCTTGTCTTTCTCACTGGACTCATGTGTGAATTTGATGTCAGAACTTCCTCCTTGGTCTCCATCCTAGCATCTTAAAGGTTCTATCCTGGGACCATGTCTTTATTTTTTGACTTCCTAGAATCTGTGGTCCATTTGGTAGATATTAACTTCCCTCACTCTGACCAGTTCCAAGATGGTGGATATGGCTGCTTGTTTCCAAGGTTCCTGAGACTCCCATATCACCTCTTGCAAGGTCAGAATTAAATTTGGGTTACACACTCTCTCTTTCTTATTTTCTCTGCCTTTGGAGAGAAGCTGCCATGAGGCAAGTCTAGAGCACCTCTAGCATCCTGTGCTGAGCAGTGTTAGACTTGCAGATGTTGGAAGAAGAAAGGTCCTGCAACACCATGACTTTGGGACTGGGTCACATTGGTGAGGTGTGTCAAGGAAGCGTGCAGACACAGAATCCTAGCAGACTTCCAATGAACACCGTGTGGAAAGTCCTGGTTCTGGACCCTGAATTCTACTCTCCATCCTCTGAGTGTGGAGGGGAGGAAGCCCCTTCCATAGGCATCATCAGTAGGTCCTTCTGGGGTCTGCTGGCACAGGCTCAATGAATGCTTACTCTCACGACACTGACTTTTCCCCCAATAATATGTTCTCTTTGACTTGGAATTTGGCTATAATATTCCGGGTAGTTTCCCTTTGGGGAATCTCTTTTAGGAGGTGATTGGTGGATTCTTCCAATTTCTATTTTGCCCTCTAGATCTAAGACAGTGGAGGTAGTTTTCCTTGATAATTTCTTGAAGTATGATATCTAGACTCTCTTTTTGATCATTACTTTCAAATAGTTCAAGAAATCTTAAAGTATCTCTCCTTGATCTATTTTCCAGTTCACTTGTTTTTCTACTGAGATATTTTACATTTTCTTCTATTTTTTCATTCTTTTGGCTTTATCTTATTGTTTCTTGATGTCTCATGGAGCCATTAGCTTCCACTTGCCCAATTCTAATTTTTTTACGGAATTATTTTCTTCAGTGAACTTTTGTATCTCTTTTTTACATTTGGTCAATTCTGATTTTTAAGGAGTTCTTTTCTTCAGTGAATTTTTCTGCCTTTTTTTTTTTTTACCAAGCTGTTAATTCTCTTTTTCATATTTTTCTTGAATCACTCATTTCTTTCCCCAATTTTCCCTCTACCACTCTTATTGCCTTCTTTAATTCTTCCAGGAATTCTTATTGGGCTTGGGTCCAATTACCATTTTTCTTTGAGACTTTGTAGCTGTTTTCACAGTGAGTTTATATTTTGGTGTTCCCTGCCACCATGGTAGCCTTTTGTGGTCAATTCTTTTTTTGTGGTTTTCTCATTTTTCCAGCCTATGTCTTGACTTTGAACTTCATGTTAAAGTTGGGCTCTGCTTATCTAGGGGTAGGGAGGCACTGTCCCAAGCTTCAGGATTTTTCAGGCTGCTATTTTTAAAGCTAGGTCTTGGGGGGGGGGTCTTCAAGCTTTTAGTGCTTCCAAGGTGGTGTTACCCTGGCAGAGGTGTGGCCACTGCTCTCTTGGTCTGTGCTCTGGTCTTTACCTGGGAAGGGCCCCTCATCCCCTGAAGCCGTAAGTTCTCTTGGCTCTGGAAGTGTGACCAGGGACCCGGCTCCCTTGTGACTGACCACAAGTGCTCCCCACCACCCTGGAACTGTGGTCCAGAACTGTGTATGCACAATAGAGCTGCCAATCACTGCCAGCTGCACCCAGTGCCAGCAAAAGGTCCCCTGTAATCTCTTTCTGACCAGTTGTCTGACCCCCTTGCCATCTCCAGGTTAAGAGCTCTCAAAGCTTCTTCTTCTTCTTCTTCTTCTTCTTCTTCTTCTTCTTCTTCTTCTTCT